ATAAGAACTAAAGAAATTCCTGAACAATAAACTTGTACTACAAGGGATAATAAAGGGAAGCATACGACGTGAAGAAAACTGTCAAAGTCAAGGAAACACATTAGACAAAAATCACTAGAAGGCTAGTAAACAAAGGAAGAGGAAAGAAGCAAACTATAGGAAGACAATGTGGCAAGAAACATGACACATTTCTCCATAATAAACTTAAACATTAACAGACTCAACCCCCCAAACAAAAGACAGACTAGCAAATTGGATCAAAAAGCAAGATTTAACCATTTGCTGTCTCCAAGAAACCCATCTCACAGTCAAACATAAACACAAATTCAGAGTGAAGGGATGGAAAAAGGACCTTCATGAAATGCATCCTGCAAGAAGACAGGAGTAGCCATATTGTTATTTGATAAAATAGACATTTCATTAAAGTCTGTATGAAGCCACAAGGAAGGCCATTACATATTAAAAAAGAGAATGATCCATGAAGAGGAAATCAAAGTATTTAATATTTATGTAGCAAACAATGGAGCACCTAAATACATTAAACAAACACTTTGAGACTTAAAGAACATGATAGACCCCAACACAACAGTAGTGGAGATTTTAACACTCCACTTTCATCAAAGGACAGGTCAATCAAATAAAAGATAAGCAAAAAAGCCTCTGAATTAATTGACACCATAACCCAAATGGACATAATAGATTATCTACAGAGTATATCACCCAATAACTACCTAATTCACGTTCTTCTTAGCAGCTTATAGAGCACTCTCCAAAAATGATCATATCATAGGACACACATTGAGCCTAAGCAAATACAAGGGGATCAAGGCAACTCCTCGCATCCTATTTGAACACAGTGGAATTAAACTAGTTCACAACAACAAAACATTCTGAAGAAAATACTCAAAACACATGGAGACTGAATAACACTCTACTGAATAGCACATGGGTCACCAAAGGAATGAAAGAAGAAATTAGAAAGTTCTTTCAATCCAATGAAAATGAAAGTACCCTCAATGGAACCTCTGGGATACAGCAAACGCAGTGCTGAGAGAAAAGTTTATAGCTCTAAGCACACACATTAAAAAAAAAAACGTAACAGCTCAAAAAAAATAATCTCACAATGCACTACAGCTGCTAGAAAAACAAGAACAAATCAAACCCCAAACTATTAGATGGAGAGAGATAGCAAAGATTAGTGTGGAAGTTAATGAAAGAGAAACTAAAAAAAAAAAGCTACATGAAATCAATGAAATGAAAAACTGGTTCTTTGGAAAAAAAACAAAATTGTCAGACTACTACCAGACTGACAAAGAAAAGAAGAGATTCCAATAAACAAAATTAGAGATGCTAAAGGAAACATTATAACAAATACCCAAGAGATATGAACAATTATAAAGGACTGATTTCAAAACTTATACTCAAATAAAATAGAAAACCTAGTAGAAATGGACAAATTCCTGGAGACATACATACTGCCTAAGCTGAACCAAGAAGATATAAACCAATTGAGCAAGGCTCTAACATGCAATGAGATTGAGGAAGTACTCAGAAGTCTTGAAACAAGGAAAATTCCAGGTCCTGATGGATTCATGGCTGAATTCTATAAGACTTGTAAAGTTGAACTAACATCAGACTTTTATTTGTGTGTGTGTGTGTGTGTGGAGGGGTCCGGTCATGGGGCCTGAACTCTGGGCCTGGGCGCTGTCCCTCAGCTCTCCAGCTCAAGGCTAGCGCTCTACCACTTGAGCCACAGCACCACTTCTGGCTTTTTTCTTTTTGCTTATGTGGTGCTGAGGAATGGAACCCAGGGCCTCATGCATGCAAGGCAAGCACTCTACCACTGAGCCACCTTCCCAGCCCAACATCAGACTTTTCTGTGAAATAGAAACAGAAGGATCAATTCCAAATGCAAACTAGGAAGCCAACATCATAATCATCCCACAACCATGTAAGGATCCAACAAAAAAAGACAACTATAGATCAATTTTTCTGATGAAAACAGATGAAAAGCTTTTCAATAAAATACTAGCCAACAGAAACCAGCAACTAATCAAAAAATATCATACATTATGGTCAAGTAGGCTTCATCCCACAAATGTAAAGCTGGTTTAAAATATGTAAATCAGTACATGTGCACAGAGCCAAAGGCAAGAACCACATGATCATCTAAAAAGCCTTCTACAAAATCTAACATCTATTCATATTAAAAGCTCCAAAGAAGCTAGGAATAGAAGGAACATTCCTTAAAACAATAAAAGCTATATATGACAGACCAATAGCCAACATCATACTCAATGGTGAAAACCAAAACTATTTCCCCTAACGTCAGGAACAAGGTAAGGATGCCCACTCTCTCCACTCTTTTTATATAGTTCTGGAATTCTTGGCCAGAGAAATAAAGCAAAAAAAGGACATAAAAGTGATTCACATATGGAAAAAAGTCAAACTATCCCTTTTTGTGGATAACATGATCTTATACCTAAAGGACCTAAAAGTATCCACCCCATTTCCTAGAGCTAATCAATCACTTTGACAAAGTAGCAAGATATAAGATGAACCCACAAAAAGCAGTAGCCTTTCTGTGTGCCAACAATGCAAAAAGGGACATCAGGAAAACAACTTCATTTGCAATAGCTTAAAAAAATTACCTAGGAATAAAGCTAACCAAAGATGTACAAGATCTTTATAGTAAAACTATAGAAGTTTGGATGAAGAAATCAAAGAAGACACCAGGAAATAGAAAGACCCTCCATGTTCATGGATAGGAAGAATTAATATTGTGAAAATGGTCATACTGCCAAAAAGGGTTTACAAAATCAATTCCATTCCCATTGAAATCTCAATGGCATTCTTTACTAAGATAGAGAAAACAACCCAAAATTTCATAGGATAACAAAAGACCTCAATAGCTAAATAATTCTAGGCAGAAAAAAAAGGTAATACAAACTTGGTTTTGCCATAAAAATAGATCTGAAGATAAATGGAACAGATTAGAAGACCCAGAAATAAAACCATACACTTATAGTCACCGTTCAATAATTAGTGTTGGACTGGGCACTAGTGGCTCACATATGTAATCCTAGATACTCAGAAGGCTGAGATCTGAGAATCACAGTCCAAAGCCAGCCGTGGCTGAAAAGGCCCTGAGATTCTTATTTCCAATTAACCACCGGAAAACCAGAATTACTGTGGCTCAAAATATTTGAATGCTAGCCCTGAACAAAAGAGCTCAGGGACAGAACCCACGCCCTGAGTTCAAGCCCCACAACTGACAAAAAAAATAGTGCTGGAAAAACTGCATCCATATGCAGAAAAGTAAAAGTGGATCTCTGTTTGTCACCATGTACTAGTATCAATTCCAAGTGGATCAAGGACCTCAATGTCAGACCTGAAACTTTGAAATTACTGCAAGAGAGAGCAGGAGAAACACTAGAACTCAGAGGTGTAGATAGAAACATTTTGAATAGTCCCAGGGGCAGAGAAGATAGGCAAGAGACTTTAAAATAAAAAGTTTCTACACAGCTAAGGACATAGTTAGACATGGGGAAATGTTCATCATCCCTGGCTATCAAGGAAATGCAAATCAAAACAACCCTGACATACCATCTCACACCGATTGCATTGGCCCACACTTTAAATTCAAACAACAACAAATGTTGGCAGGATGTGGGGAAAAAGGAACCTACTGCACTGCTGGTGGGAATGTAAACTAGTACGACCACTTTGGACAGCAGTCTGGAGGTTCCTCAAGAAACTAAACAGATCTTCCCTATGACCCAGCCATACCACTCCGGGGCATCTACCCTGAACACCCCAAGCCAAGATACCACAAAAACACTTGCACATCTATGTTCATTGCCATGCCATTCACAACAGCCAAATTATGGAAACAGCCCAGAAGCCCTACAATAGGTCAGTGGACCCAAAAAATGTGGTCTTTATATGCAATGGAATTTTACACAGCCATTAGAAAGAATAAAATAATATCATTTGCAGGGAAACGGATGGAGATGGACCTAGAAAAAAATCTTCTTAAGTGAGGTAAACCAAGCTCAGAGAGACAAACAGCACATTTTCTCTGATATATGAAAGTTAGCTCTAAAATACACTGGGACATAATAATTTATACAGGTTTCTAGGCATTCACATACAGTGAGACCAAAAGAAGATACTCTCAGGGAAGAAACACAAAGGTTCAATGCCTGTGTGCCTTTTTATATGTATATAAAATAAGTATATATTAGGGAAGGAATATGACTTAATGGTAGAGTGCTTGCCTAGAATGCATGAGGCACAGGGTTTGATTTCTTGGAATCACATAAATACAAAAAAATAATGATATTGTATATGCCAAAATGAACACTAAGATATAGAAACTAGACTTCTCTTTTTTTTTTAAAGTTGTTTATGGTTCTGTTTTCTTTATGTATATTTCTGTGTCTGTCTTTGGGAAGGTGGTGAGAAGGCACAGAAATTGAGGGAAAAGGATGAAAAAGTGCAGCAGTAGAGCTCACCAGACATTGGTGAAAGTGAACTATACAACTTGTAGGTGGAGATGGGAGGGAGGGACTGGGAGAGAATGAGGGAATGGAAGATACTGTACGAAAGGAAATGTACCCATTACCTGACTCATGTTATTGTAATCCCTCTGTGTATCACCTTTATAATAACAATAACTTTTTTTAATAAAAGAAAGGACAGTTATTATCTTTTGGGCAACAGTAAGACATTTATTTCTTTATAATTTGTATTCATTCATAAAAAGGACAAACCACGGTCCTGTACTACTCCATTGGAAAAAAATGATAAAAAATAACTAAAAAAATCCATATTTATCAGTATCAAATAAAACTACTATCACCTTTCCTGGAATACAAAGAAACAATAGATGAGTCTCTAGCTCTATAAAGTTTAATTAAGAACCTTGCATCTTAAAGCATATGATACATTGGTTAGTTTGACAACAGTTGAAAACTAATGGTCCCAGTCAAATTTTCCACAATGGGGTGAAGGAAATGGGAAGCTTCCATGTTCGGGGCATGAGAGATTTTAACCTATTTCATCTGTCAGAAACTTAAAACTAGATCTCCAATATCTATTTTCTTCTTACCTTTCTGAACCAGCTCATGCAAAAATCTACCCAGTTTTGCTCTTTATTACCATACATTAAAAAATAAAGGCAGGCATGCACTTGGCAAAAGATGTCATTGTTGATTATATATTAAAAAATGCCCAACGTGGGTTGCTTTGTAAAAGGAAAACCCCAAAATGTAGCAATGAAAACACAAACATTTGTACAGAAGGCTTTACCAGAATATTTGTTTCACAAAAGTATGAAGTCATTCATTTCTTTTTCAAATAATTAACTATTTAATGAAATCTGGCAATGATTTAGGATTGTTAGCCTACTTCCACTGGGGGTGGGGAGGCGGTGGGAATCATCCATTTCAAGGATTTTTAAAAAGTTGGCATTTTATAACAAAGAGTTAAATATGTAAATGAAAATGAAATATTTATTGAGATTTTTTTCATAAGGAAGATCTGAAACATTTACACATAGCTCTATAGTACAAAAATTATACAAATTAAAGATAAGGGGTAAAGTTGTAAAAGATCTAGTTTGCTTCTTGTAAATATTTTTTTAAGAACCTATAAGGTAATCCTTTCTAAAAAGATAAACTCTATCTTTAATTAGCTCCCAAGGTTGTGCTAATAAAATAGGATTATACCTCTCATATATTGCACTCTTTCACCAGCCAGCTAATTCTTTATTACCCGAATTCTTCCTCATCCACGCTCAAACACATTTCCATGCACACCATGGCGAATGACAAAATGTGTGTGTATTTTTCCTTTTCACAATTTATAAAAACCTGAAGCACCAATGCTTGGGAGACACTGTCAGACAAAAAAACGGTCTCTCCCTGGCCTTTCCTTTTCTGCATATTCTTCATAGTACCATACACAATGTATTGGTTTGGTATTTTTAGCCAGTTTTCAGTATTGCCTTATAATGGGAAATGAGCTTCAAATTTGTTATTTTTAATAAAAGAAATTCTGTGGCTTTTTCAGCCTACAGATGACGACTTCTTGATTCTGTACCTTCAATAAAGAAAGATTTTACTTTAGGAATGAGGCACAAAACAAAGATACTAGAATATTATTCTGTAATTCTAATATTCACTAACTGTCATTTATTTGTTCCTAACTATATAAAGACTGTCACATTTCAATTTTAAAAAATGGAAGCACTCTATTTCTCAAAATTCATCATTCCACATATGAATAAATACAGCAAGGTGATGCTATTCCAGATAGGGGCCCTATGTTGTGTATTGATGGCTTGATATTGATGAAAAGAAAAACACAAAATAACTTCAGAGTAGAATATAAGTAAACAACAACAATAACAAAAAACAATCTCTAGATGGCACGTGAACTGTATCATCAAATAATGAACTGAAAAGTTATCACTGATTCTGGAAAAAAAATGTCAAATATTTAGAAAATTACATCAAAAAAGAAGAAATACTGATAGTTAAGTTCTGAAATTTGATTTTTGATATTCAAGATTTTTCAACTTCTTCAGCAAAGGGAAAAGGTTTCTGTTATATTCTTTTTGTTTTTTGTTGGTTTTGTTCAAGAGAACTCAAAATGCCATGAATGATTGGGGCAGTTAAGAATAATGCAGGACCCCAGACAGAGAGGATAATATAACAGACTGTATTACTCTTACATTTACCACATACGATCAACATTTCAACCTCTAGGCTATGTCACAACTTGTGGTTAAATTGAAAGCACCTGTGTATGGTGATTTGCCTCTTCCCCCTCCCACCCCCACAGCCTATGGTATTGAATTGAACACTGTAACTTGTCCCGTTGGGTTAAATCATGCAACCGTCCCAGAATCAGGTTAAATGGTTTATAAGGCATATCGGAACGAGTTAAAAATCATTTGATATATATATATATATATATATGTTTTAAAGTTGATTCTTTTGGATGAGGGGGTTCCTGAATGCCTCAGTCATCACATGTTGTCAATCAGTTTGGGTAGTTGGTTGAAGTATGATTTGTTGGACTTGCGATGGAACCGCAGGGAACTGGAAGGAAGTGTGGTCATCCCAGGATGGAGAGCGTCCTCGGAGCTGGGCTGACCATGGCAGATGGCACACACGCCACATTCAGAATTCCAAGTACACAAGGATGCCCAGGGCAGGCAGCAGTAAGCCAAGAAAGCCTGAAGACAGGGTGGGTGCACCTGTGGAGGGAACCAGGGATGAGAGTCACTTAAGGATAACAGACATGGTGGCTCCCGTAGTCTGCTATCGGGCAGGATGTCATGGAAGAACTCAGAAAACCAAATATTTTCTTTTGTATGAAACTGCTTTCTTGCCAGGCACTGATGGCTCATACCTATAATCCTAGCTACATCAGGAGGCTGAGATTTGATGAATCCAGTTCAAAGGCCTGACTGAATCTGGAAGTTCATGAGACTCTTACATCCAATTAAACACCAAAAAGCCAGAAGTGGAGCTGTAATAGTGCCAGCTTTTGGTGAAAAAGCTAAGGGATAGTGTCCAAGCCCTGAGTTCAAGCCCTAGTACTGGCATAAAAAAACAAAACAACAAAAACAAAACCAACCTGAGCAGGACAATGAGCCAGCAAGTAAGAGCAGAGTAACAAGGGCAAATGTAAATGGCCTGCAAGTAGATCTTTAGTCTCAATAATGGATTTGTTTTGCAACCCTATCAATAACAATGCCTACACTAATCCTAACTGAGCCAGCAGGGATTTTCTGTTCCACAGCAACAAAATAGACTCTATTCTATTTCATTACACACACACACACACACACACACACACACACACACACACACACACACACACACACACACACACACACACACACACACACACACACACACACACACACACACACACACACACACACCCTGCACAGAATAGTCCACAAAGCTAGATTTTTATTTTTCCTGATTTTATAGTTTATAACCCAGAGTCAGGTAAAATGACTTGTTCAAAGGCTGGAATAGTAGCCTGGAGATCATTTAGAAAATGAATGATTCAAAAAGTAAGATGTCAGGCATTGGTGATTCATGCCTGTACTCCTAGCAAGGAGCTAGGACTGAGACTGGGCTGAGACTGGGAAAATCATGGTTTGAGGCTAATCTAGGCAGAAAAGCTTAGGAAATCCCTTCTTAGACCAAAGCTGAGTACAGTGACTCAAGCCTATCATCCTAAGCTACAAGGTGTGTGTGTAGTGGTAGGGGAGGCCAAGATTAAGGGGATCATGGTTCCACATCAGCCTAGGCAGAAAAGCTCGTGAGACTCCTCCTCGATAGAGGGACGGTGGACATTGTGGCATGTGCTTGTCACCTCAGCAACAAGAAGCTTAAAATAAGTGGATCATAGTCCAGGCATGTGCCTGAACAGGAAACAAAACCCTATCTTTCAAAACAACTAGCACCAGAAGAAAAGAAAAAAGGGCTGGAGGTGTAGCTCCATAGTAGAGCACCTGCTTAGTAAGCACAAGGCTCTGAGCTCAACCCCAAGGAACACCAAAGAAAAGAAAAGGGAAGAGAAGAAAGAAAAGAAGAAAAAGAAAGTTAGAAAGGTCGTTAGAAAGGAAAGAAGAAAGAAAAAGAAACCCAGGGCCAAGGAAGGAAGGAAGGAAGGAAGGAAGGAAGGAAGGCAGGCACAAATACACCACACCCTGCACATACTATATCAAGGGCAAAGGAGTCCCTTTGGCTTATGGGAAAATATGGCTACCACCTACCCTATTTCAAAGAGTTTTTTTTTTTTTTTCATTCTTGGTGCTTTTAACTTTTTCCTTTTCTGCATAGTTTAAAGCCTATGCTGCAACCCAGACATTATTCTATGCCGATAAAAATGGCCAATAACAAACCTTAATGACACACAGAGAAAACACTGAGTTTTCAACAACTGCTCTGTCTGAAATGATCTATCCTCAAGTCCCTTTGTCTCTAACAATGCCCTGGTCCTTTAGCCACAAATGACCTCAGCCGTGCGTACACGTTCCCTGCTTGCTTGACTCTGTGGCTTGGCATGGCTCACACCCAGGCTGCTGAGAGAGGTTTAGCCAATGGTGGCTAACGTTTTGAAGTTTTTGCTGTTAGCACAAAAACCAAATACAATTTCATAATTTGTGGCTTTGACATCAGGATATTTGATTTATTTAAAATAAACTCTTCATGTTTATGTGTGTTCTATTAAATTTCTCTAATGGCTTGAACTTAGGCAATTGTGGTCTTTATCTTCAATTCTCTTCCACATTGTGAGTAGGAATTACAGACCTGACTGAATTCCTATTTGGTCATTATATATGTGGCCCTTTATATTCTTTTTAAAAATTTTTTATTGTGAAAATACTGTACAGAGGGGTTACAATTACATAGGCAAGATAATGAGTACATTTCTTATCAAGCATTATAGCCTCCTCCTTTGTTTACCCTTCTCATCTCTTCCCAGCCTCCCCCCGCCCCCCTACTCAATCCTCCCCCCCCCAAAGTTGTAAAGTTTGTTTTCGACATGACAACTTGTACTTCTCATTGTTGCAACAGGTCCACCTGTATCCTTATTTAAACGACTTGTTTTTCCCTTCCCCTCCACAAATTATACCGACATCAAATACAGTGAAAGCAGGGGTTATACTGTGGGGGAGAGACATACAAAGCAGAAACAAATGCATGAAAGAAAAAAAAAATTTGAATACATATCTTAGGGTTCATTTTCCTAACATCACCTTATCTGACCTTTTCTGCTTGACTCATACATGTACTAGATATTGCAAATAAGGGAAACCATGGGACCTATGTATCTTTGGGCTTGGCTTACTTCACTTAATACAATATGTGGACTCTACATAGTCATGGAGGATATGTGTGTGTGTGTGTGTGTGTGTCTGTGTGTTTTATATGTAATAAAATAGACCTCATATTATTGGTATCCAGAATAATTCTAATACTAACATGATATATACTGAACATACATTTCTCTGTTCACATACATGTCGAATATTAAGCAGGATGAAGCCATCCACCCTATAAATTCTTTTTCCTGTATCACAAAGAGGGTAAAACCCAAACATATTAGCTAAAGTATGGTATATTCAGGTGACGATTCCAATGGTGTGACTCCTTTGAACAACTTACACTTTAATAGGAAGCTACAGCTTGTAGCTTGTAGCTGGTGTGTGTGTGTGTGTGTGTGTGTGTGTGTGTGTGTGTGTGTGTGTGTAGGTCAAGAGGAGTGGAACAAATGGAGAGTGGACGGGTGAGTGAATGCAGTCATAATATCTAATTTAGATATGTGAAAATGGTTGTTTAAGTGTTGCATACAACAAACTGTCATTTAGGAGGAATAGGCATGGGATCACAACCCAGTTCTAGCACTGCTGTTCTTTGTTGGTTACTGGACAGCTAAAGGATATGAACTGTTCAAAATGACAGGGTTCTGTGTTATAAATCCCACTAGGGTCATGAGTCTAAGAAAACCATACTATATTGAAGAATAGCAAGCGCTGAGCCATAAAAGTTGCAAACAAATTTGTTGTATTTCTCCCAGCTTGTGATCACTAAAATTGACATAAGTTTATAAATATACATTAAGAGCTTGATCATGTAAGTGCTAGTGGCTTTATGGGCCTTTTCAATTCAGTAAAAGCTGCTATTCTTGCTGCTCCTATGTGTTCAGTAATTATGGACCCAGATGCCAAGCAAAATAGATTTGATTTTTGGCAGAGATATATGGTTTGCTGGCAGCCCATTCTGGCAGTTGTATTTGTTCTTTTCTGACGACTCTGGCTCTTTCTCTGTTAGAGAAGGTTAGATTACCAAAGTGAATCTTTGAGAAAGGTGTGAACATTGGCAAAGGAGTGATGACCAATTATTTGCTGTGAAACATAAAAGTAAACACTAATTGCCTCCTGGCTAACAAACACATGTTCAACACACGATATTATTTTGGGGAATAGTGAGACTGTAATGATAAGGACTTTTGTGTGTGGGGCGGGGGTAGTTTTTCTCACTTGAGGATGGTGGCGCTCTACCACTTGAGCCACAATTCCATTTTTGGTTTTTTTTTCTGGTTAATGGGAGATTAAGAAGCCTGGGCTGGCTTTGAACCAAAATCTTTAGATCTCCTCCTTCTGTATACATAGAATTATGAGGACTTTTAAAATTGGCTTAACTTCTTTAGAGATGAATGACATTTTCCTAGTGAGATTTGGGGTTAAAGAGAACTCTATCACAGGGTTCTGAATCTTGTCACTCACTTGAGTGTACAGTCTCTCCTGAGGCACCGTCTTTCTCTGAGCTGTGTGCCTTGTTTTCTAAAATGGAGGATTTACTATTTACACAGAGGGTATTTGTGAGAATAAAACATTAAAAAAAATTAAGCCTAGCACCAGTGCCTCATGTCTGCAATCCTACCTACCAGAGATCTGAGAATCTCAGTTCAAAGCCAGCCTGGGCAGTCAAATCTGGGAGACTCATATCTCCAATTAACCAGTAAAAGAGCAAAAGAGCTAAGGGACAGCACCCAGGCCCTGAGTTCAAGCCCTCGTACCAGCATACACAAAAATATGTTCAAAGTACACAGTAAAAATGACCCATGAACTATCAATTTGAAATATGAAATTAAATTTGGTTTATTTAAAAAATACTGTTCATTGAGTATTTTGTGAGTCTTTATCCTATTCATACACATAAATATGCACATAATAAATTTCATGAGTTGGTAATTCATGTTAAAAGTAATATTTAGCTGGGCGCTGGTGGCTCATGCCTGTAATCCTAGCTACTCAGGAGGCTAAGATCTGAGAATCACAGTTCAAAGCCTTCCCAAGCAGGAAAGTCTCCATGAGACTCTTATCTCCAATTAACCACCAGAAAACTGGAAATGGTGCTATGGCTCAAAGTGGTAGAGTGCTGGCCTTGAGTAAAAGAGCTCAGGGACAATGCCCAGGCCCTGAGTTTAAGCTTCATGACCAACAGGAAAAACAAAACAAAAAGAGTACATTTAATTTCTCATTTTAATATTTTTTTGATGGTACTAAGATCTGGACTCAGGGCCATGTGCTCACTAAGCAGACATTCCCCTACTGAGCTATACTTCCAGCCCCCCGTTATACAATTGCTATCTTGTGATAGGATCTCACTTTTCCTGCTTGGGCCTGTGTCTGGACCTTGATCCACCTATTTTAGGTTCACGTAACTA